GAGCTGAACGCAGAGGCTTTAACCCACTGAGGCATCCAGGTGCCCCAGTTTTATTTTATTTTAAAGATTTTATTTATTTATTTGACAGAGAGAGACACAGCGAGAGAAGGAACATAAGCAGGGAGTGTGGGAGAGGGAGAAGCAGGCTTCCTGTGGAGCAGGGAGCCTGATGCAGGGCTTGATCCCAGGACCCTAGGACCATGACCCAAGCCGAAGGCAGATGCTTAATGACTGAGCCACCCAGGCACCCCTGCCTTCAGTTTTAGAACCAAATATGAAATCTCAGCCTCACAGGTTTCTAAGCCCATGACCACGTTTGTAGTGTATGGTCTCACCAAGACTGCCCCCTCTTAAACTCTTACTTCTGATTCATTTCCTGATTGTCTGGAAAACATTCACAAGTACCTCTCTCAAAAGGAATATATGATTGGAATATTGTCTGCAGCCTTGCACACTGGAGAATGCCTTTGGCTCGTTGTGGCCTGCACACACATACAAGATAGTCTAGCTGGGTATAAAATTCCTCTGTCACAGACTTTTCCCTCCTCACGACCTGTGGGCATCGTTCCATGGCCATCTGGCTGGCTTCTTCTTGTTGATTTCTAATCCGCCTCTGATTTTCCCTCATCCTGGGATTTCATATGTGTGCGAAGATGTGTCTGGGTGTTGGTCTCTCTTGCTTGATGTTTTTCCCAAAAGTCGGTGAGCCTTCTTGTGCATGTGTCGGTCTGCCTTTAGCTCAGAAGTCCGATCGTTCATTGTTTCTATCCTGCTTGGCTTCTGCTGCCTTCTCTCCCCATCATACGTCACCCTCCACATTCTCACCATTCTCTCCTTCGTCTTTATCCTTTATCGTCTTTATCCTTTTCCTCTAGACTCTGCGAGAGTTTCCCCAGTTCATTCTCTGTGTGTCCGAATCGGGTGTCTCCAGGATCCCTTCTCTTGACTGCTTCCGAAGTGGGTTTTGATTGTGCTACTGAGTTTTTTGGTTTGCATCTTGGTTTTTCCAGCTCCTCTTCCTCTCCTGTGTCACGTTCTTTGTATCGTCCTGTGGCCTCTTTAGCTCAGGCTGGTCTTTCCTTCTGGCTTTCTTCTCCAACTTTACAGAAGCCGTGTCTTTTCAGATCTTTTTTTAGTCTGCCCTAGTCACACGCTGTCCATGGCTGTTGTCACGCCCCAGCAGCAGACTTTGAATACTTGTGATAGAGACTGTATGGCCTGCAAAGCCTTAAGTATTTACTGTTTAGCATTTTGAAAAAAAAAAAAATTGCAGATTCTTCTACTAGGACAACTGGATTCCCATCTCGGCGACACACTGGACAGCCGGGGACTAGATACAGCTCTGGCCCTGCTCCCTGGCTCCTGCAGTGTCTCCCCTTGATTCACTGTGTTCCTTGGGGATGGCATCCTTCTACCCGCACTGCCTGATTTCCTCCTTCTCTGCGCTGGTCATTTTGATAAAAATGAAAGTGCAAATATGCAGGCGTGCTGTCGTCCTTCTGGGCCCTCCCCTTCCTTCAGCATCCCCTCCCTGGAGGAGGGCACCAGCCCCAGTGCCCCTGCCTACCTCCTGCCCATTTGTTTCCTGCTCATTGTCCCTGTGTCCTCTCTTTCTTCGAGATCTCTCCGTGTGTCGGACAAGAGGCCGCGTCTCGAGGTAAAACCTGGGACAGGTTTTCTCCTTCCTCCATCATCTGCCCTTAATTAATAGAGACTGCTCCCAGATTCCAGCATGGGGTCATCTATCCATTTGGTTTTCTTTGGCGGGACTGTGAATTTTCATTTTTCTCGTTGTCTTTACAGCTCTTTTGGCACCAGGCAAAGAGGGGCTCTGTGGGTCGCTGCCAAGTAGATATGCCATTTTGAAGGAGTCAGAACCACATGTGAAACCTGTGGCTTGTCCCTCCTGAGGCTGTCTCTGTGGTTGTGTGTGTATTTGATAGAAGAAGAAAAGGCAGGAACATTTTCCCTACCCAGGGACCACTTGTCCGATGACCTCAGTTGTGTGGAACACACCCAAAACAAAGAATCCGCCAGCCGCCAGATAGCAGCCATGGTGTCTGTGACCCGGACGTTACTGACTCTACCCAAAGGAGAGCGTTTCCATCGTCCTCATTCCAAGCCCATTTACCCATGTTTTACGTACAGGTCTAAGAGTCTCGGTCTTTGTTTCCCTACTCTCAACCCAGCTGGAATCGACAAATCCAAAGGGAGTGGGGGGACACCTCACAATGAGTGCACAGCCCTTAAGAAGTATTTCTGGGGCTTCTGGGGGGCTCCGTGGGTTGAGCATCTGCGTTCGGCTCAGGTCATGATCTTGGGGTCCTGGGATTGAGTCTCCGTGGCCAGCCCACCCCAGCTCTGAAATGGGGCTGGTACTGCGATGTTCTCATTGGGCAGGGAATGGATGCCACACATTCTGGGATGATGTCTGTCCCAGGTAGATATCTGGCTCTGGAAAGAACCACTGTCGGTGTTAGCAGGAGGGAAGGCAAGAAGTAAGCCCAAGGTGCCCTGGGAGGAGACTGTCACCAGGCTCTGCCACCGTGCCTTTGGCCCCCACAGTGCATGGCAGGTGTTCTAGAACCTTCCTGAGCTCTGGCTTCCTGGCTTTCAGGTGGGACTGACAGGGACTCCCTCACAAGTGTGCAGAGCCCACGGCTACATGGTGCTGTGTCCCCCTCCCCTCTGGGCTGTGTGCCTCAGTGTCCAGCTGGAGAGGCCCCCCCGGGGAGTGAGAGCGGAGATGATTTTCCGGAATGCAAGCACAGACATGGACCAATGGCTTTTGACTTCGGTAAAAAATAACCAAAAGGCGAGGAGTAAGGGGGTTCAAGGCCGTCCCGGGGAGATCACCCAGCATTCCTGTTAGCTTCTCTAAGTGGGGAGAGCAGGGAGGGAGCCCAGCCCACTCGCAGGACCGCGGGTCTCTTGCACATCCTGGGTTCAGCTGCGGCGGTGGCTTTGCTGTGCGCGTCATCTGTTCCTGTGGTGGCTGACCCGCAGCCTGGAGCAGCTGCTCCCCAGGGTGAGGCACGGGGCGCAGGGCCCGGTGCGGGTGCCTCGGGTCCATGAGTTCGGGCTGCTATCACATTGCGATGACCGCTCGGGCTTGGTGGCTGCAGAATGCGGGCGGTGGTCCCTGGACAGCTGCGTCCCTGCCTCCTGAGAGGTCCCCTCCCTCCCCTGGTGGCCAGCTAGCTATCTGGCAGAAGTCACTAGCAGGATAGCCTCCAGGCGCCCCTGGCAGGGTGTCCTGGTGACCAGGAGGGGGTCCCGGGGCTCAGACCCAGGGGACCAGGAAGCGGGGGGGCTGCGTTTTCCCCTATTTTCTGAGACTGGTTCCCCACTGGGTGCTCCCCCTGCCCCTCCCAAAAGCTGGCTCAGGAGGCAGCAGGGGGCTGCCAGGCCGTGGGCCGCCTGGGCAGTGGGATGGAGCAGTTTCGACTCTAACCGAGGCACTAGTCAGTGAAATCCAGGACCTGGAAGGAGGCAGCCACATCTCATGGGCCAGAGACCAGCTCTGGGGTGGGAGGTGTCTCTGAATATTCTCTGCATCACTAAGCCATGGGGGGGGTCGGGTGAGGGGCACTGGGAGGACTGACTCCCTCCCCAGCTTTGTCCTGTGCCCCACACAGATCCTTCCCTTACCCCCAGGTCAGCTTGGCAATGCCCTCTGCGGGGGGAGGGGCTGCACCTGCTCCTGGGGCGATCCCCTCAATGTATGTGTGTCCCCTTTTTAGCCCCCCCAACCTGTCACCCGGACACACCCCCAGCTCACCTCCCTTGCCCGATGCTGCCATGGCTTCTAGAACATTCTGGGCCCTCCACCGGCTGTCTGGGCCTTGCTGGAACACGGGGTACTCCTTGTGCCCTGCTCTGAGCTTCACGCCCTGCTGGCATTGTGTTCACTGAACCACAGCGTGGCATAACCAAGAGAGCAGTCCTTGGGCCTCTCATGGTCGAGTTCAAGGCCCAGCCTGGGCACCAGCTGTCAGGGAGGCCTTGGGCAGGGGGCCTCAGTGTTCCTACCTACAGAATGGGACCGTCACCCCCACATCCTAGAATGGTGGTGAGACTGAGTGAGGCCTGGTGTGTCGGGCGGTGGCATGGAGCAGGCTGGAGTGATGTCTTGGGCCCCAGCCGTGAGCTGGCCATCGTGCTGAGGGTGACAGTCCTCTGTGGATCTGGCCAAGCGTTGCATCACCTTGTCGGAGGATCGGGAAGAGCTGGCCGGGAGAGGGCCTGGCTGGGCCAAGGCAGGGTGTTTACTCTGGTGGTTGGACGGAGCCCCCCAGCCCCAGGAAAAGCAGGCCCAGGGGCTAACCGACCCCAGAGGCCCTGCACTTTCCGCCTGGCTCGCACCCCGGCTCCGGGAAGACCCTGATATGCTCCTGGCGGCCTCAGGCCCATAGCCCTGCCTCGCAGCAGTGGGGCCCATTAGAACTGAACTCCCCTCCGCGGGCCATTCTATTTGCACACTCCAGTAGAGTGGACACCAAAGGCATTTTCTAATGCTTCATGGGCTGCTAATTTCCTCCGTGACCTCTTTTGTTGGGGTCTGACCCCAGCCAGAGGCTCTGCGCCATGAAAGCCAGCGCCTGACACAGACCCGGGGCGCGGGGTGACAATGAGGCCTCTATCGGCTTTAATCAGGTTCCAGTTGTGTCTTAAGAACGGGTTGGGGGGAATCTGGGCGGCGCTCGGAAGCCCTGGGTGGCACAATACCACAGGCCCCAGTGTCCCTCGCAGAGGCCAAGGGGGCTCCAGGCGGTGGCTGAAGGGCTCCTCGGGGCCACAGGGTGGGGGGCCGGGCCGGGTGGGGGGCCCTTTGTCCCAAGCGCCTCTTGAGAAGGCCGGGCCGCTCTGAATGGCAGCCCCGCCCGGCCCCGTGGGTATTGCAGGCCTCTGGGCATCTGGGGAGCCGGCCTCCCCCTCACCCCCGGCCTATTCATCGCCAGCCTAATTAGGTTTTTTGTCTGTGTTCTTCTCCCCTGCAGACTGTGATTCCTACTGCAAGGCCTCCAAAGGGAAGCTGAAGATTAACATGAAAAAGTACTGCAGGAAGGACTATGGTGAGTGCCTGGCTCCCTGTCTGGGGGCCACGTGACCAGTGGGGGTGGGGTGGGGGGGGCGGGTCCTGGTGTCCTGTGATCGGCAGGGGGCCTGGCTGGCAGGATCCCACGCCCAAGGGACTTGTCAGCTCTTTCCCCGAGGCCCTATGAGGCAAGGGGTGCCAGGGGACTTCCGGGGGTGGGGGGCGTGAGGGAACTGCAGGGCTTGAGGACTGAGTTTTCTCTGCCCCGGGCAGGAGCTCCCCTGTGGCTGGGATTCCCAGCCTGGCCTCCAGCCTCCACTCTGCCCCAGGTTGGGGGCTGTGTGGCCTCAGATTAGTCGCTTTGCCTCTCTGGTCTTGGGTGCCGTTCTCCGTACGATGGGCTTTCAACTTGAGTCTCCCTCCGTGGCTCAGCGTGGGGTCCTCCAGGTGTCAGGAAAGGGGGCAGCAGCTCCGTGGGCTTAAAAGCCTCCTCCTTCCAAATGCTGACTCTGCAAAGGCTGGGGTGGGCCGGGGAATCTGCATTTTAAGTGGTCGCTGGGTCCCCGAGGGTGCTTTGCAGCCAGCAGCTCTGGGGCTGACAGCCCTGTCCCTTGAGCTGTCAGGGCCCCTGTGCCCCTTTCTCTTTTGGATGGCCCTGTCCTCCTCCCTATGCACTTGCTGGGAACCTCCTTCCTGCCAGGCTGCCGCCCAACCCTGGGAGGAGGTGAGGAGCCGGCTTTGTGGCGTCTGGTCCCTAAGAGTGGCTGTGCTGGCTGGAGGCCTGGGCTGGCCAGACAACACGTGATGGGGTCAAAGCCTGACTTGGGAGGCTGTTGGGGAGCCCGCTGGAGGAGGGGAGCCCCTCAAGGCCACCCTTGCAGCCGAGAGCCAGGGGTCACTTCAGAGCAGGGGCCTAGCAAACAGGAGACCCAGGGGATCTGCTGGCAGTGGCAGGGGAGGACCCCAGGCAGAGACCTGGGTGTCCACATGGGCAGCAGAGGCCCCTGTCACCCGGCCAAGAGGTCACCGCGGCCTGGATGGAGGCCCAGGGGCTCTGAACCCAGGCCTGGCACCTTCCACCGTCTGGCCCTCCTCTGGACCCGTTGGGCCTGGCGGATTTGGGGAGGTGGCTGACCCTCCCCAACCCCCTCCGTCACCCCCGACTCCCACTGATGCTGCCCGGTCCTGTTTGTCACCTGGCCCCCAGAGGTGGTCCCCCAGCCACGGGCTTGGCAGGCCTGTCCACCCCACACCACGCTGGCCTCTCCTGCCCGCCTTTCCAGACCTGCCCCACTCTGTATGTCTGGGCCCGGTGCCTCCCAGGCTCCCAGGGAGGAGTGACCCTTGCGAGTTGCCTGGCAGCTGGGCCGGAAGAGAGGGAGGAAGGAGCAGAGCCAGAAGAGGACCTCTGTCTGTCCCTCTGTCCCTCCATGACCCAGCCCGGCCTGCCATCTGCCCGGGGCGGGCTGTGGGAACCAGACATAAGGTGTTTCTCTTTAATAAGGACAAGGGTCCGGCCCTTTAAACATAAAGAAATGCACGAGGGAACCCAGAGGAATTTGGAGAACTTCTAAAACCTAATCATTGTACCCATGTGAGTGTGTGTACGGACACGGGTACACACGCACGCACACATGCAACGTTATGTCCCCAGAGCCTAGAGCCTGCCCAGGGTGCCTGGCCTGCCCCTTGCTGGGGCTGTATCTCCCGGTGGCCCCGATCCAGACCCCTGTGGGGCCTGCAGCCAATTTCCCAAAGCCCCGTTCAGGTGTTTGCAGGAACGTCCGGCTGCCGCTGGAAAAAGAAGTAACCTCGAGATGGTTGAAGGGGAAAGGGAGCGCAGTCTCAGCCCCAGTGACACGCACAAGGGAGGGATGAGGGCTCAGGCAGGGAGGCCCAGGGTTTTGTCGCGGTTGTAGGCTTGGGGCCTGGGGTTCAAGTGGGGGCTCTGTCCACAGGCCCTGAGAGCCAGCGGCTATAGAGAGCGCTGCCCAGAACGGGGGACGGCATGGTGGGTGTGCTGGGGCGGGAGAGCTTGGAGTTGTTCTGGAAGCATCTTTGGGGGAACACACCTAAGGGCTGGAGGGGGAGGGCCCAGCAGTCCTTCTGTGAGGTGCTGGCCTGCAGCCCCTGTTCGGTTCTAAAAGCAAAGAAAGGAAAAATTAGGCTTTTAAAACAGTTACCGGAATAGCGCGTGTGTCACACCTGGTTCTGTGGGACTCGGCCCCGTTTTGTTCTCTTGTCTTCTTTTCCTCCGTTGAATTCAGCTCTCCTGACCCTCAATGTTCTGGGGGACCCTTGTTCCCCCTTGGCACTCTGCTGGCCCCATCAGCAGGAGGGCTAAACACCCTCTTTTTGTCAAAGGGGACCAGACACAGTCTTTTTATGAACTTAGAGGGGCCCCATCGGCTTATTCAGGAGGGAGGGAGCAGCTCCCCGCCAGGGCAGGGGCCCGCAGGTACAGCCGGAGGCCTTGTGCTGGGGCTGGGGGTGGGGGACTGGTGAGGTGTTGTGCTTGGGTTCGTAGGACCCTGCATTCCATTGGGACCACAGACCCCCGGATAACGTGAGAGTGGGGGCGTCCCTCCCCAGGTCGGCATGGGGGCGTGATGCACAGGAAGAGGACGAGGAGGGAGGTGAGGCGGGCAGAGCAGGCCAGGCAGAGGAGGACTGGGGACTGGACTTTCTGGGGGCGGGGGGTGCTGCATCTTCCCTGCTCTGACACCTGGCAGGGAGCCAACTAGAAAATGTAACCAGTGCCCTGAATGTTCTAGAAGCTGCTGATGAGCGCCCCAGGATGGCCGCCTCTGCCACGTGAAGAGGAGGCCCTGGGCCCCATCTCCTGCTGGGGACGTGGAGCTGGGTCTCCGCCGACCGGGGCAGGGGGAAGAAGGGGTGTGCGGCCGGGTCCTGCCCTGTGTTCGCTCTGGCACATTCCTGATGGGAGGGGCTGGGTTGGGTACCAAGCGGAGCAAGGGGGACAGGGGTCAGGGGAGGGCCTCAGGGCCAAGTTCCACTGCGCTTCTCGCATCCACAGAGCACCCCTAGCAGGGGAGGGAGGCCCGTTCTCTTCCCATCTGCAGGGAGGGGACAGCAGCCCCATGGTTTGGACATGCAGACCCCCAATGTGCTGTGGGACTTGGGGCAGGAGCCTCACCAGCCGGGGCCTCGGTTTCCTGTCACATGGGGGTCTCATCCAGACAAACAGGGGACATGACACCTTTCTGGATAAGACCCAGTGTGCTTGGGGCAGGTGCAGGGTGACACCGTGGTCTGTGGTTACCTGGCTCTCTGTTGCCCTTGAGGGGACCCTGCTGGTGAGCTGCCCATGGAGAACAGGTGCGTGCGTGATTGTCTGGTGTCTGTGATGCCGGCCAGTTGGGGACACTCGCCTGGGAGGGGCCCTGCCTTGTGTGAACGCCCCTGGTGGGTGTGCTCATGTGACAGCGTGCGTGAGTGTGCAGGGTAGGTGTGATGGTGTGAACAGCTGTGGGTGTGCACGCGAGTGTGGGCACTTGTGTGTGGATGTGGGCGTGCGAGTAGGCTCCCGTGGAGCTGCTTGTGAGTGTGCTCACGTGTGGGTGCACGAGTGTGACAGTGTGTGAGCATGTGCAAGTGTTCCTGTGTGTGCATGTGGGTGTGCGTGCGCACATGTGTGGGTGTATGTGTGAGCGTGCACACGTGCCTTGTGTGACAACAGGGGTGGGTTTGCAGGTGTGAATGTGTGTGCACAGAGGCACATGTGTGTTTGTGACCCTGTGTGTGTGCACATCAGAGCGTGTGTGTGCTTGTGTGATAGGGAGCACACCTGTGTGTGCTGTGTGGGCCCGTGAGTGTGTGTGAGTGTGCCCGCTTGTGTGTTCACCACCGAGTCCGGGCAGCATCTGTCTGGAGCCCCTCCCCCCAGAGTCATGCGCTGCCAGTCAGGGGAGTCAAGGCAATGAGGGTGACAGAATTACACTGTCCCCAGGGCACTGTGGGGGGCGGGCACTAGGCTGGGGCTGGGGAAGGTCTCAGGCTGCTCCCATGACCATCCAGGCTGGGCCGCTCGGCCTCCTGCCTCTGCTCCCTCTTGTCCCTGACCACCTTCCGGGCCCTGTCCTCACTCACCACACCTGTGCACCCTCCCTACCCCCCACAGACATATCCTAGGGCGTCCTGCTCCCTCACACACCCATCCCCAGCCGGTCCCTCTTCACACTCCTCGAGCACCTGCTGTATGCCCCATCCTGTCCTGGGTACTGAGCTTGCGGATACGGAGGAGACACTGTCTTAGCCCCCAAGAAACAGTCTAGGAGGGAGACATGCACACAGTCAAGAGCGGGGCGGGGTGGACAAGCCTGAGTTCCAGAGCCTGGCTCTCCAGAGAGGGCATAGAGGGAGGGCTTCCTGGAGGAGGGTCCTCGGTAGCCAGTGCTCACGGGGCAAAGCAAGGCTCCCAGGCAGAGGGAGGAAGGCCTCGGCCACAGAAGTGGAAACAGGCTGGGGAAGCAGGTGCTGGATGCAAGGGTATAGGGGCCAGGGAGCCTGGGGTGAGTCCCCAGTGGGCCTCAGCATCCATGGCCACGTCCGAGCCCACTGAGAGCCGGGCCTGCTCATGCGGGCCGCCGTGGGCTCCTGGGTGCTGCCTCCAGGCTTTTCCTTCTCCCTGGGCTTTGCAAGTGGGGGGAGACGGACAGCTCACATTCTGAAAGGTGAGATCATCTCACTTTTGCCAGTTCTTGGAAAAATGATTCGTTCCCAGAAATGTTTATTAGTCACCCCTTTTGTTGAAAGACATTTTGGCACCACCAGATGGAAAAATCAGAATGCTTTTCACGAGACGATCTGCGTCCAGTACGCCTCCTGAGCTCCCGCAAGGATGGCGTCTGGGTGCGGCTCAAAGGGGAGACCCTGTTGGCATCCGTGGGGAGAGACGGGGCTTGCTGGGCTGTGCATGTGCACGTGCGCCTGCCTTCTCGGGGGCCCCATGGCAGAAGCGGGCCTGGGACCTAAGTGGAACTGTCATTCACCCCAACATCCCTCCCCCTGCACCCA